TATTTATTTAGAAGTCAGTCTTGCTTGGCTTTACATTTCTAGTAATGCATTCATTTTTTCTAGGTTATCTAATTTGTTGACATATAATTATTCATAGAAGTGTCTTCTGATTCTTTTTATTTCTGTGGTATCAGTTGCAATGTCTCTTTCCTTTCAAATTTTATTTGTCTTTTTTTTAGTCTAGCTAAAGGTTTTTTAGTCTAGCTAAAGTCTTAGCTAAAGCTTGTTGATTTTATGTATCATTTTATGACAACAAATCTTCATTTGGTTATCTTTTGTATTATTTTTCTAGTCTCTATTTTGTTTATTTCTGTTTTAATCTTTATTGTTTCCTTACTTCTGTTAACTTTGTGCTGAGTCCCCTACTATTGTATTGCAGTCTATTTTTATCTTCTCTTCAGATATATTAATATTCCCTTTTGTATATTTAGGTGCTCTGATGTTGGATGCATATATATGTACAATTGTTATATTATCTTGATAAATTGACCCCTTTGTTCTATAATTGCCTTCTTTGGCTCATTTTACAGTGTTTGTCTTTGAGTCTATTTTGTCGGATATAAGCATAGCTATTCTTGGTCTTTTTTGGTTATTATTTGCAAGGAATTTTTTTTTTCATCTATTCATTTTTAGTTCACGTGTGTCCTTAAGGCTAAAGTGACTCTCTTGTATGTAGCAGATAGTTAGGTCTTGTTTTTATTCATCCAGTCACTTTATATGTTTTGATGGAGAATTTAATCCATTTAAAGTAATTATTCATTGGAAAGGACTTACTATTGTCACTTTGTTAATTATTTATCGATTCTTTTGCAGCTCCTTTTTTTTCTTCCAATCTTGTTTTCTTCCTCTGTGATTTGTTGATTTTTGTAGTGATACACTTTAACTTAAAAAGCTATCTTATGTGTATTTTCTGTGTTGTTTTTCTTTGAGATTATCATTGGGCCTAAGTGAACCATCTTGGTACTGGCATTTTTGTTTTATTCCTGATTAAAGAGAAAGTTCTTATTATTTTAGCATGACATATAATGTTTGATTTACATTTTTTACACCTAGTTTTCTAAGATTTAAATACAGTATGAATGATTTTAAATTTTATCAACTGCATTTGCACTATCTGCTGAGATGCTGATATGTGTTTTCTTGTTTATTCTACTAATGTAACAAGTTACATTTTTAAATTTTTAATATTATATCAACCGTATATCCTGTAATAAAAATAACTTTTTATATCAGATTATATTCTCTATTTAATAATTAATTTGATTTATTCATATTTTGTTTAGAATTTTTGCTTATATGTACATGTGTACAAGATATTTGCCTTTAATTTCTATTTCTCATCATGTCTCTGCCTGATCTTGACTTCAAGTCTTACTGACCTCATAATATATGCTGAGAAGTCCACTTTCTTTTATATTCTCTGAAATAATTTAAGATTGATGTTATAAGTATTTGATAGAATTTGTTTGTGAAGCCATCACAGCTTAAATTTATCTTGTGTGGGAATGTTGCTAACTATGGATTTAATTTCTTTAACAGTTATAGGACTATCAATATATTCCATTTCCTCTTATGTCTTCTTTCAATAGATGGTAGTTTTCAAAGGCATACATTTTATAGGTTAATTTATAGGGTTTTTTGCAGTTTGTTTATCCCTGTTGTGACTAACCAAGACAAAGTGAGCACACAAATAATCAATATCAGAAAGAAAACAATGAGATCCTATAGGCATAAAAACATTGACAAGATTATGCTTCTGGTGTGATAAAAAAGGTATGGCAGACTAGTGTTCCCTCTGAAAACAACTAGAAAAGCATGATATAGTACAAAAAGTATTTAATCTATATAAAAGCATCAGAAAACCTCTAAAACAATCAGGAATATAAAGGGATTGTGAATCCTAAGAAAGCCACAGAAAGGTGAGAAGATGTTGGTTCTACAGGTAGTTTTTCTTTTCTTTCTTTTCTTTTCATTTCATTTCTTTTCTTTTCTTTTCTTTTTTTTTTTTTTTTGAGACAGAGTTTCGCTCGCTCTTGTTGTCAAAGCTGGAGTGCAATGGCACGATCTCGGCACTCTGCAATCTCCACCTTCCGGGTTCAAGCTATTCTCCTGCCTCAGCCTCCCAAGTAACTGGGATTACAGGTGCCTGCCACCACACCCAGCTAATTTTTGTATTTTTAGTAGAGATGGGGTTTCACCATGTTAGCCTTTGGGAGCATTTGCTAGGACAAGAGGCTGAGGTTTCTGATTATGTCTAAGTAGGAATTGCTAGGGGAGAAAGGAATCATTATAGCATTTTTTGTGTGTTCTTTAAGGTCTGGAAAGAAAATGTAAACCTAAGGAGATAAGCTCCTGAGTAGAAGAAGGGGTCAGAGAAATGAGCCAGCTTCATAACGAATTTTTCTATTAACGTGCTAGCCAGATTTTGATGCCTTTCTTGTCAGTAGGACAAGGAATTAAGAAGAAAGCAGCTGAGAAACAGAACAGAGTTTTTGGCCATGTAATTGTGCTGAGAAAACATGGTTCAGGACTGCAAGAGGGAAGTTACTTGAAGACATACCATGTTCTCAGTTGAAAACCTTGGAGGGTTATATGCTATAATTAGAAGATAAATTAGAAGTATATGAACCAACTGCCATTCAGCCTTGGTTCTGGTTTATCAACCTTGAGGAGAGAAGAGTGAGCTCAGTCTGGAAGAACTAAGCATCAGCTGACATAGCTGTACTTTTTGATACATATTTTTGAGCACTTAATAAAAAATTACTAGACATGTTAAAAGACATGGCCATATTTAAAAGAAACACTAGAGAAACAAAAATAATAGAAACAGTGTCGCAAGTGATCCAGTTCATAGACTTAAAACTGATAAGGACTTTAACTCCTATTTATATGTTCAAGAACACAGAAAAAAATGGATAAAATAGATGAACAGATAGAAAGTTTCATAGAAGAATTAGAAACTAAAAATGGAATCAAATGGAAGTTCTAGAATTGAAAAATACATTCACTGAAATGGAGAACTCTATAATTGAGTTTAACAGCATATTAGACACAATAGCAAACAGCATTAATGACCTCGAGCAAAGGGAAAGAGAAAATGTTGAAATTGAAGTAAAGAGAAGAAGAATAAAAGAAAAAGGAGAAAAGTGTGGGATATATATAATATACAGTGAAAATATCTAACATACATATAATTGGAATCCTGGAGGTTGAGGGAATAGAAAGGCAATTTTGAAAAAGCAGTATTTGAAGAGAAAATGGGTGACAATATTCATAAATTGATGAAAACTATCAACCCAGACAGTCAACCCATGTAGATACATGTATTTGGCAAATTCCAAATGAGATAAATATAAAGCAAAGCGTATTTAAGTACATCATAGTAAATCTTTTAAAAACTAAAAGAGAAAATTGTAAAAGTAGTCTGAGAAGCTAAGACAAACAGAAACTTCACCATGGCAACGAGGTAAGCCAGAACACAATAGAATGACATCAGTAAAGTGCTGAAGTAAAACAAAATAATTGCCAACCTAGAATGCTACATACAGCTAAAGAATCTTTCAAAACAAAGACAATATAAGGTGGTTTTCAAACTACCAAAAGCTAAGAGAATTTATTGCCAGGATTTTTGTGCAAAAACAAGTTGAAGGGAATATCTCAGCCATAGAGAAAGTATTGCCAACTTGTAATGCTGAAATACAGAAATAAATGAAGAGAAACAAAATATAGATATGTGAATAAATACTATGTGTCACTTTGTTTTGCTGAGTTCACAGAGAACTTGGATCCTATCTTATTCTTAACCAAGACTTTCTGTTTAGCCCTCTCTGATTCTTCCCACCCAATGCCTTCTTAGTCTAAGCATTTGTTCCTTCTGCCATATTCCCTAAGCAATGATTAAGTGTTTGAATTCTTAACCTAAGGTTACTCGATTCAAAGCTCAGCTCCATCCCTTACAGAATCTAGATCTATCAATTAATATACATCTAGGGATAGTTGCATATGCTCTTGGTATCTTAGTTTCCTTATCTATAAAATATGTATATAATATTATCAACATGGTAGGATTTGCTGTGCTGTGAGCTATTGTGCAAAAACTTTGTAAGGCATCTGGTGCTTAGAAGCCATCCAATAAATCTTAACATTATTATTCTAATCATATTTTTCTCTCCTACCGTTTCAATGTATCTATATACATTTGTTCTGTCATACTTGATATCTCAATTTGAAATGAATACTGTATTTTATTTAAATTTCCATATCTGACTTTCTGGTTTGCTTCATGTATCCTGTATTATTTTGGTGTTTTATAAAATTAGCAAATAATTCTGTTGTAGTATACCCATTTAAAAATATCATAAAGTATTGTGAAGCAATATTTTTACATTTTAGTACTTTGGACAGACTTGCACTGCTTAAGAAACAATGATATGTGCTCCTTACAGATATCGTTGTTTCTGACAAATTAAATTTTTTTTCCCTCAAATGAGGAGGATGAAGACCACCTGGTGACCATCAAACAGGTCATCTGAGACAAAAAATTCCTTATTTGAGTAACTTAGAAGTAATTAGATTTCCCTGTTATCTAAAGTCAGCACCTAGTTCCAGGCCTCTTTTCAACTTAAAATTTATAAGTAACTGGAATTTCTGCATATCCCTGGAATGCATGCGTGTCTAAACTCATGCTACCCTTCCTGATATTAAGACACCAAAATGTCTACAAATGTAATCGTTTAACATGCATATTACCCTTAAGCTCCCGCTTTAAGGTCCATAAATATCCCTAAAGAAAAATCCACTGTGGCATGCTCAGTCCTCACCTGCTCAGATGCCCTGCTGCACTCTTCTGCAGCATTCTTTCATTCTGATAAAACTTTATTTATAAAAACCTATTCTATTGTTGCTAAATTTTTCTAGCCAACCCATGAGCTGACCACTTTCTGAGGCCAGCGCTCTGACACCTAACACAGCATGAAATTGTTTTAATCATTTTGACTTACCAACCTTGGGGAAGGTTTCCTCTCCGCTGCTATTGCAAAACTTCCTGATATAACATACTGAGAACAAAAAGAGGCATACATAAGAATAGTTTCCTTATCATACAAGAGATTCTCAGAACTTTAATAACATGAAGCCCATGCAAAGAGTAGCTGAAGTTTAAGAAGAATTTGGCTGAAATACCAAAATTCCTGTTGTAGTTCTGTGGTAGCCCCTGGAAAAATCACCCAGCTATAAATCCAATGGTTCTTTAGTATATAGAGAATCATTACTGGATTACTGTGATGCTTGTATTTGGCATAAAATACAGGGATATTTTAAACATGATTTTATAGCTTGGAGGGTAAATAAAAACTTACGTGGTTTTATTTAATAACTTCTTACTGAATATATGAGTTTTATTGCTAGAAAATATATGTTGTTAAAATTTGGTGAGTTCATATTCACAGATGTTCAATATAATGTTATTGAAAAATATTTTACTAACCGGAAACAGCATTGAAAATAGTTCATCTGCAGTTTAATTTTTGAAATGCAAGTGTCATGTATTAGCTTCCAGATGTAACTTATAGTGAATATTCTATTGTTTTTCTGGCACTGATTGGAAGGACAATAGTTTTCAGTGCATCAATAATTGATTTTTTTTTCCATTGGTGTAAACTGCATGTGTGTATGCAGTTTTTTAATGACATTATATGATTATCTAGTCTGTAACAAGTGGAGCAGAGAATGTTCCTTTCTCAGAAAATGGGGCCTCTGAAAAATCACAGTAAATAGTGTTAGAGACAGATAAACAAATGAACAACATATAGAGAAGAGATTTTCATGTCATATTAAAATATGAAGTAAATAAAACAGAATGATATGATAAAGGATATGCTGAGGGTGAAATTCAAGAGGTTTTTCAAAAAGGTTTCTCAGAAAAGGTGACATTTAAACTGTGATTTGCATGACAGTAAGACTTGAGGGTGCAGCATCTTAAGGTGAGAAAACAGCTACTACAAAGGACCTAAGCCTCTGTGCTAGAGTATCTGCCTCTGGGAAGCCTCCCTCCTTTCTTCCAGTTGTGGTGACCATCTGCGTCAAGCATCTATGATCTGTGTTTCTATAATAACACTCAAATATGTTGAAAAAATTATACATACATTTGTTTGCCTCTTTATATCCTTAGTTCAAAATGGAATTTAGATGACTTGCATAAGTACACACACTAGGTTTAAAAATTTGTGAATAGAAGTAATTAATATATAAAGACACTAGGGATGATCACTGGCTGAGGTTGGGGGTAATTTTAACCAGTGAAATTGTACTGTGGGTCCCTGAATAATGAATAAGGCTAGATAAAACTAATCTTCACTTTTGACTCTGTGATGACTGGTGGCTTCCTTACTGCATGGTCACCTAATAATAATATGACATATAAATGTATTTAACCCATGTGCGACTTATCCACACTGGGTAACCAATGCTCTCAATGTACTAGATTCCCATCATAACTTGGAGGCCAGACCCAGTTAATCACTGTCAGAATGAAAACACACACTGCATTTGCTCTACCAGCTACTGCCATATTGTTATTATTCTTTATGCAGGAAAATTCAGTGAAGAGTTATCTAAACTTACTATCTTGTCTTCCAATTATTTCTTAAGCCCACTCCAATCAGGTTTTCAATTCTACCTTGCCAATGAACCTCTTTTTGTCAAGATCATTCATTACCTCAATGTTATAAAATCTAATGACAATTTTAGCTCTTGTCTTATCTAACTTGGCCTAATCTGTAGTCTTCAAGAGTTAATTGCTCCTTTTTTCTTGACTCTGCTTTCCTCAGTTGACTTCCAATGTAGCATACTCTCTTATTTTTCTCTTTTTCAATTGTCTTTGCCCTTCCCTCCTCTTCAATCTGAATTCCTGATGCTGTAGGTACACCAGGTCTCAAGCCTTGGTCCTTTACTCTATCCCATCTACACAATTGAGATCCCTTCTTAATAATTTCTTGTTTTCTTACAGTACTAAATACCATCAATATGACAATAATCTCACACTTATATTTCTCTCTCAAACTCCAGACTCAAATACAGATAGGTACTTGACATCTCTACCTGGTATCTAAAAAAGATTTCAAACCCAATGTGTCCCAAATTGAACACCCAAAATTCTACCCTCTTCAAACCACCTCTGCTCATAGTCTTACTCATTTTAGTCAATGTCAAATCCATTCTTCTAATTACTTGAGGAAATATTTTGGAGTCTTCTTTATTTCTTTTTCCCCTTTCACATCTCACATACAATCCATTAGGAAGTTTTATGGTCTCTATTATCAAAGTATATCCTAAACAAACTACTTTTTGTTTTGCTACCTCCCTGGTTTGAGCCACTATCATCTCTTATAGATAACTGTAATCAGATTTTAGGAGGTCTCCTTGCTTTGACCTTTGCTCCGTTATAATTTCTTAATGATCTTTAAACTTAATTCAGATCATGTCATTCCTCTGTTCAGCATCCTGCAATGACTGTCAATGATATTCATCCATGCAATGATCACAGATCCTTAGATTATCATGTCTTCTGTCATACAGCTGACCTCCTTTTCTACCAATTTTCCCTTAGCTGAATTTGCTCCATCCAAACTCGCCTCTTCTTTAGTAAACACTCTAGGCTTGTTCTTAGCCTAAGACCTGTTCTCCTTCTTACTCTTCCTCCAGATATCCAGTGGCTTATTACTTCACTCCTTCAAGTCTTAGCTCTAATGTTTTCTTTTCAATGAGGCTTGAACATTCTATAAAAATTGTAACCTGCCAGGCATGGTGGCTCACACCTGTAATCCCAGCACTTTGAGAGGCTGAGGCAGGTGGATCACTTGAGACCAGGAGTTTGAGACCAACCTGGCCACCACGATGAAGCCCCATCTCTACTAAAAATATAAAAATTAGCTGGGCCTAGTGGTGGACACCTGTAATCCTAGCTACTTGGGAGGCTGAGGCAGGAGAATCACTTGAATCCGGGAGGTGGAGTTTGCAGTGAGTTGAGATCAGGCCACTGCACTCCAGACTGGATGACAGAGCAAGACTCCGTCTCAAAAAAAAAAAAAATTGTAACCTGCACTAACCTCATGTTTCTTTACCCTCCTCTATATTTTATTGTTTTCCCACAGTACTTTTAAATATTTATGATGTATGACATGATGTTTTGATATATGTATATTTTGTGAAATGATTACCATAATCAAACCAACATATACATCAACATAGCATTTTTTTTGGGGGGGTGAGAACATTTAAGATCTACTCTCTTAGCATTTTCAGGTATATAATACCTTATTAACTATAGTCATAATGGTGTACAATAGATGTCCAGAGCTTATTCTTCCTGTTAACTGAAACTTCTTACTTTTTGACCAATATGTCCCCTAAGTGCCAGACCCTGACAACCACCATTCTACTTTATGCTTTTATGAATGTGACTTTTTAAGATTCCATATATAAGTGAGACCATACAATGATATGGTTTCGCTGTGTCCCCACCCAAATCTCATCTTGAATTGTAGTTCCCATGATCCCCATGTATGGTAGGTAATGGAACAATGGGGCAGTTACCCTCATGCTGTTCTCATGATAGTCAGTGAGTTCTCCCAAGATCTGATGGTTTCATAAGGGACATCCCCCTTTGCTCAGCACTCACTTCTCTCACCTGCTGCCATGTAAGATGTGCCAGTTTTGCCTTCTGTCATAGTTGTAAGTTTCCTGTGGCCTCCTTAGCCATGAGGAACTCTGTCAATTAAACCTCTTTTCTCTATAAATTACTCAGTTTTGGGTATTGTACTAGTTCATTTTCTTGCTGCTGATAAAGACATACCTGAGACTGGGCAATTTACAAAAATTTACAAATTGTGCTACTATAAACATGCATATTCAAGTACCTTTTATGTATAATGACTTATTTTCTTCTGGGTGGATACCCAGTAGTGGGATTTCTGGATCAAATGGTAGATCACTTTTAGTTCTTTAAGGAATCTCCACACTGTTTTCCATAGTGGTTGTACTATTTTATATTCCCACCAACAGTGTAAAAGTGCTCCCTTTTCACCACATCCAGGCCAACATCTATTATTTTTTGATTATGGTCATTCTTACAGGAGTGAGGTGGTATCACTCCTGTGGTTTTGATTTGCGTTTCCCTGATAATATTGAGCATTTTTCCATATGCTTGTTGGCCATTTGTGTATCTTCTTTTGAGAATTGTCTATTCGTGTCCTTAGCCTACTTTTTGATGGGACTGTTTGTTTTTTTCTTGCTGATTTGTTTGTGTTATTTGTAGATTCTAGATATTAGTCCTTCATTGGATATATAGATTGTGAAGATTTTCTCCCACTCTGTATGTTGTCTGTTAACTCTGCTGATTATTTCTTTTGGTGTGCAGAAACTTTTTAGTTTAATTAAGTCCCATCTAGTTTTCTTTGTTTTGGTTGCATTTGCTTTGGGGTTCTTGGTCATGAAGTCTTTGCCCAAGCCAGTGTCTAGAAGGGTTTTACAATGTTATTTTCTAGAATCTTTAGGGTTTCTGGTCTTATATTTTGAGTCTTTGATTCATCTTGAGTTGATTTTTGTAGGAGATGAGAGACAAAGATCCAGTTTAATTCTTCTACACGTGGCTTGCCAATTATCCCAGCATTTGTTGAATATGGTGTCCTTTCCCCACTTTATGTTTTTGTTTGCTTCGTGGAAGATCAACTGGCTATAAGTATTTAGGTTTATTTCTGGGTTCTCTGTTCTGTTCAATCAGTCTATGTGCCTATTTTTATACTAGTACTGTGCTGTTTTGTACCAGTACTATGCTGTTTTGGTAACTATGGCCTTACGGTTTAGTTTGAAGTTGGGTAATGTGATGCCTCCAGATTTGTTCTTTTTGCTTAGTCTTGCATTGGCTATGCAGGTTCTTTTTGGTTCCATACAAATTTTAGGATTGTTTTTCCTAGTTCTGTGAAGAATGATTGTGGTACTTTGATGGTAATTGCTTTGAATTTTTAGATTACTTTTGGCAGTATGAACGTTTTTCCCAATA